GAGGAGGAGGAGGAAGAGGAGGAGGAATACGATGATGTGGAGGAGCCCCTGAGCCGCGCGGGTGTGCACCTCTCCGCCCTGGCCGCGCTGGTGCTCTTTCTGCTCTACTGCGCCTACGTGAAGGCCCCTGGGCTGGGCAGCGCCTGCATCTGAGCCCCTGAGCGCCTCCCTGGTGTGTCCTCCGTCAGCTCCCACAGCCCGCCTTCTCGGCGCCCTCTCCCTGCTTGGCGGCACCTGCAGCTCAGGCTGGCTCCAGGGGTTCTCTTTGGGCCCTATCTGCAGCTGTGAGCCGTCCCACCCCAGAGAGCTGCAGAGGTGACCCTGAGGGGCTAAGGGGTGACCCCATATAGAGGGGCGGGTGGAGGGGATTGCATTCTCTTGCTGATTCATCGCATGTGATTGTCCTTACTCCTCGGGGACTTTGAGAGACCAGGTGACAGGAGCCCAGGGGCGCTGAGGATCTGCAGAGGGTCCTTGTGTTAACCTCCCGGTGTCAGCACACAAGAATATGACTTCGACATACTGAGTACAGTTCAGGACGTAGACTGCTGGGCACAGCTGGGGCAGAGTCCCTCCTGGCCTCCTTAGGCGTCCAGCAGCAACGGGCCTTCCTCTGCCTGCAGGTGCACCTGCCTGTGTCTTCAGGTCCTCAGGCGGTGCTGTGTGCTTCTCGGATTTCCATTTCTGAGAGAGCACTCAGGAGGGAATAGATTTGGGACCCACTTGACCTCAGGGAAGGAGCCCTCATGGCTCAGTGGGCTGTGCTGGCCCGCTAATCACCCGGCCCCTCCAGCAGGAGAATGGCCAGGCTGCCTTCTACTGTAGAGATTTGGAACCTGGGAAACCCACAAGGGGAGCTTCTACTCGCCCCTACACACTCACTGTGAGTCGCAATGGACTTAGTACAAACTAATTCCTATAACCAAAGAGCCACCCTTTCCACAAGTGGCCACACTTCGAGGAACAGTGGGCAGAGAGCTCCCATGTAGCTCTTAGGGAAACAATCCAACCCATAACCGTCCCCTTGTGTCTCTCTCCTGGAACCACCAGCGGGTCTCCTCGCACCTTGGGGCCACCGTTCAGGCGGGGATGGAGGACCGCGTGCAGTGCTACCCAGTAAGCAGTGATGGTGAGCTCAGGTCGAAGGCCATCTGGGAAGAGGAGGCCTGCAATCCGCGCGAGAGCTTATTATAAAGAGCTTATTAAACTCTCTGGACTCCTTCCCACTCATTCACCAGGGACCCCCATGGCCTCTTTCCTGCCTTCCTTACTCCTCTTGCTCTATGGCTGGTCAGTCCTCCTTGCCACTGTCTCACAGCCACCCAGCACAGCTGAGGTGTCCTCTGGCCTTCAAGAAGGGGCTCTTGGCATCACCCTGCTGAGCTTGTTGGAAGTAAGAGGTCAGAGAGCAGGCTGGTCCTAGTTCTGCTTGTGATGTAAGACAAATAGAGGGCTGGCAGAAGGCCTGAGGGCACTGGGGTTGATGGGGGGGTGGTGGTGGTGCTGGGCACTGAACATGCAGTAGGGCAGAGGTCCTAGATCTGCCTGTGATGTAAGACAAACAGTGGGCTGGAACAAGGCCTGAGGGCACTGGAATTGTGGGAAGGGGGGGTGCTGGATGTGTATCTGAACATGCAGTAGGGCAGAGGTGGTGTGGCACTGAGGGCGAGGGTAGGGTGAAGTTGGATGCAGGACAGGGACAGAACCAGGGAATATCTATAAAACACAGTTGTGTAGCTCACCTCATTTTCAGAAAGTGAATACCACTACTCTGGTGAGGAAGCAGAACACTGGCAGCACCCCAGAAAGTCTCACCCCTGCCCCTGCTCCCCTTGGCATTTCTTTTTTTCTTACCTCCCCCAATCTCCTCTTTTCCTTCCCCACAACCCTCAACCTCCCTGTAGCTTTCAAAGTCTGCTTCTTTTTGTGTGAAACCATTTTTATTTCTTTTATAATTAGAGGTCTCAGGCAGTGCTTGTATTTATGAGAACAGCTGACTTTGCTGAGCACTGGTAGTGTCGTGGTTACTGTCCGGCTGCTGAGTGCAAGGTCAGCACTTGACACCACCAGCCCCTGCTTGTGAGAAAGGCTTTCTACCTTTAAAACGTGTTACAGTCTCAGACACCCATGGAAGCCATTCTGCTCTGTCCTGTAGGGTAGCTAGGAGATGGAAAGGACTTGCTGGCAGTGTGTTAATATCTTCCAGGTTTGTCCATGCTGCAAGGTGCTTGACAACTTCATCAGTTTGGGGAATGCATACCATTACATTGCATACATGCACCACAGTTTAACTATCCTTCTTCCAAGCTGGGCATTTGGCTGGTTTCCATCTGTGTGCTATTACGGACAGTGCCAAGATAAGCATGGGTGTGCATACTTCTGTTTGTATTTTGTTCTTTGTTTCTTTGGGGTGTATACCAAGTAGAGATTGCTGGGTCACCCAGCATTTCTACTTTCACTTGCTTGATTCTTCTGTCTTTTAAACACCTTTTTGTTTCTTTGTAAATGATGTCATCCCACAACTTCCCTGGTTTTTAGTCATTTGTTTTCAATGCATCAACTCATTGAGATGTTTTCTGACTCTAGGTGGATATACTCAAGGTTGTACTTTGGCTTATAGGCTTGTTCTAATTTTCTTTACTTTCAACTTTAATTTGCATATGGTGGTCTCTTTCACAGCCAGCCTCTGGCCTTGTTCTGATATTAAACTTCGCCACAATCTCTTTCCACATATGTCGTAATTTTATTCCCATGTATTCCATCTGGCGAGGTCACATGTATAATCACTGTATATGACATTTATGATAAATAAGTTGTTGACCTTGCAAAATTCTGTCATGCAATCTCCAGTGTCTTTTCATTATGGCCATATTTTCCAACTACCTGCCCTTCTTCATTTCCAAGTTTTCTATTTCAATCACTAGTAATTATCAATGCATCTTGATTTCATGCTTGATTGCATTTATGGTATATTGCATCAATTGGTAAGAATCTTCAATATATTCATCTTTGGCATTAGTGTTTAGTTTGTGAATTTGAATAATATTCATATTAACTGGTTTTTCTTATGGATTTTATCTGTGACTAAATGGTATTTCAGGATAGATTAAAACATTTTTATTGTGAAGTAGATGAGTGTTTTCATTTCAGATAGTGGTTTTTATATTCAACAATTTAAACATGTTACCAAACTTCCTAATGGCTTGTCTTTAGAACAGATCTTGAAGTGCTTTTTTTGATGATGAATGTGTCCATGTTCCTCCTAAATTTGTTATTCTGCATATAATAGACTATAATGTTCCTCAATAAAATGATAAATGTCTCTAAGTGCACCAGGGACATATATAAACCATAGATATATGAATGGATTTTGAGCTCACACTTAATTGTGGCTCTACTGTAAGAAAAATTAGTTATTATGACATGGTACTACTCAAAATTTGTCCTCATGAAAGGATCACTGAAGATATGGATGCTATAGTAAAGTGTGGTGAAGAAACCAGATGGTGCCTGACTATCAGAAAGATAAATACTTGTGATCCAAGTATTTAAAATGAATTGTGTAACTATAGCTGAAGACATAGGGTGCATAGCAAATGTGGTGAATAAAGCTGATGGTGCCTGAATATCAAAAGATATAGTGTATAGGGTCTAAAAGGCTTGAAGGTAAACACGTGGCCATCTAGCTGAGAAACAACAAAGTCCACATGGAAGAAACACACCAGCCTATGTGATCATGAGGTGTTGATAGGATCAGGGGTCAGGCATCAAAGACCCAGAACAAAAAATCATATCAATGTGAATGAGGGGGAGGGCAGGGTGAAGACCCAAAGCCCATCTGTGGACAATTGAACATCCCCTTACAAAAGGATCACAAGGAAGAGATGAGCCAGTCAGGGTGCAGTATAGCACTGATGAAACATACAACTCTCCTCTAGTTCTTTAATGCTTCCCCCCACTCCCCACCACTACCATGATCCCAATTCTGACTTACAAATCCTGCTAGACCACAGCATGTATATGGGTACAGATAAGAACTGGAAATGGAATTCAGGACAGATAAATCCTCAGGCCCAATAATGAGAGCGATACCAGGAGGGCAAGGGGAAGGTGGAGGGAGAAAGGGGGACCTATCACAATGATCTACATATAACCCCCTCCCTGGGGGACGAAACACAGAAAAGTGGGTGAAGGGAGACTGGTCAATGTAAGACATGAAAAAATATAACAGGACTTCCGGCAAGATGGTGACTGAGTAACACACACTAGAGGGACTCAGCAGAAATCAGCACAGGAGAGTCACTGAGAGGGAAATTACACACTATCAGGACACAGGGGGAGCATCATAAAGTTAAGAAAGATAAGAAGGCACAGATCCACTAGGTTTTGAGGAGCTGTGGGTTTTTGGCTTACCACTGTGGAGGCCAGCTAAGGCTTAACCTTAGCCCTGCCACAGTATTGGCCAGAGCCGAGCTCCTTTGGCCGGCCTAAAGGCTTTATCTCAGCACAGCCACAGCTTACCGCTGCCTTGGGGCAGGGTTTAAAACCCCTCTAGCCCCATAGTCAGGCAATTCTGGCTCAGCTATATAGTTACTTTCATTTTTCTTCTCTCTTTCCCCCCACAGTCTCAGTGGGCTCAGTTTTTTTTCTCCCCCCACCCTCTCTTTCCTCTCTCATGCCACTGCCAGTCTCCAGGCCACTCCCCTTTGGCTAGGGCAATTACACCTACCCTCCACCCACCTTGGGGAGCTCTATCCTTTGTGGAGTAACATGTAGCTGGGGAAATCCTGCCCACCTTCTGCCTCAGGGGAACTCATGCCTACCCTCCAAGGCCCTCTAAGCAGCTGGGGGAAGTCCCACCCTCCTTTGAGGGTGCTCCACATGCCTGGGGGAAGCTCTGCCCACCTTCCATGGTGCTTCATTTGGCTTGGGGAGCCCCTGCCCATGCTTCATGCTCCCATGTGGCTGAGGGAACTTCCCCCTGCCTGCTGTCATGCCTCACACAGCCTAAGGCAGCTCCAACAATACTCTCCAGCAATCTATGCTGTTGTGGGAACCTCTGCCTGACCTACGCAGCAGTCTAGCTGACTAGGGCAATTCCACCTACCATCGATGGTGCTCTACACAAAAGCGGGCACACCCACCTGCTCTCCACGGCACTCCAGTTGCAGCAGGCACCCCGGAACACCCAGTGAGGCACCCCAAGCCACCATGGGCCACACCACCACAACTTCCTGTGAGATCATCCAGTGTAGCGCCATCCCCATGGGTCCACAACCACATAACCAGTGTCCCCTGAGAGGACCATCCAACTTGCCCTACAAAGAACAGAATACTGGTTGGCTGGGGAAAGAGGGGAAACCACAGAAAGATAAAGCAGTAGCCCGACCCCAAAGTGCAATTAGCTGCAGGTGGTTCGAAGAATCATTCCTACGAGTCTCCCAAACAGAGAGCTCAGTGTTCTACAACTCTCTGGAGAATGGCGCTGAACTCCTCTAAAACAATACAACGCAAACAGAAATCAGCCTCAACAACATCAACAAAAAACCAGGAGAAACAAAAGGCAATGTTGGAAGAAGTCCTGAGTCTAATGATGTGCATAGAAGAAGCAGACATTGATCTGCCACAGAAAGAAATCTTCAGAATGCTGCTTGCAGTCATATAGAACATGAGGGAAACAATACAGAAAAAGGATTAAATGATAGAGGAGATAAAGGCCACACACCAAAGGGAAATACAAGACCAAAGGGACGAGATGACAAAAGCCAGTAGCAAATTCACAGACTTCACCACCAGACTTGAGGAGGCAGAGAATCATACCAGTGACCTAGAGGACAGCCAGGCAGACTTCATCAAATGGGAAAGGCAGTCGAGATAATCAGAGAAGCCAAAGAAAACCCGAGACCCATGTCTAATTCTATGAAGAAGAACAACATTAGAATAATTGGTCTACGTCAACAAGACACAATGTATAAGTCAGTGGCAAAAATAGTAAGGGGATTCTCAGAGGACAGCTTCCCCAGTTTAATGAATGAAAACCAGGCAACCATTCAGGAGACCGAAAGAACACCAGCTAGACTGGATCCCAAGAAGAAGTCACCAAGGCATCTAATAGTTAAACTGTCCAACTTTGAGGAAAAGGGAAAAATCATGAGAGCTGCTAGGGAAAAATAAGCAGTCACCTATAAAGGTGCCCACATAAGAATATGCTCAGACCTATCAGCAGACACTATGAAGAAGAGGAGAGAGTGGAGTAACATAGTCCCCAAACTGAAGGAAAATAACACAAACCCAAGTATACTCTAACCAACCAAATTATTTATCAAGGTAGATGAAGAAGTAAGAGTTTTCCCAGGCAAGGAAAAACTCAAAGAATATGTTAAAAGAAACCTAGCCCTTCAAAAGATCCTTGCCACCCCAGTACTGGCAGAACAACACTCACCAAGTACAAATAAGGCAACACCACATAGAACACCTCACCCAAAGGGCAACAAAGAGAAAACAGCCCTCAATATAGCATTTGTTCAAAGGTGGAAAGAAGGCAAGAATGAAACACACATGCACACATACAAGTGCACACACACACACTGAAAAGAAAGGGAGGTAGGAGAACACCCAACACAGAAGGTACAAGATGACATCAGAGAGTCCACAGATGGATGTGGACTCTCTGAATATCAATGGACCGAACTTAGGCATTAAAAGGCAGAGGCTAGTAGACTGTGTTGGAAAACACAAGCCATCAATCTGTTGCCTACAGGAGACACATCTCAAGATTACAAGCAAAAAATAGGCTGAGAATCAAAGGCTGGAGAAAAATATACCAAGCAAATGGCAATTCAAAAAAAGGCAGGAGTTGCAATCCTAATCCCGGACAAAATTGATCTCATGGTACAATGCATAACAAGAGATAAGGAGGGACACTATATAATGCTCGAGGGAAAAGTAGACCAAGAACCAGTGAGCATAATAAATATATTATTTATTTCACCCGAGAGACCCGTGAAATTCGTCAAGCACTCCAAAAGATGTAAAAAGAAATTACAGGCTCAACAATTATAGTAGGTGACTTTAATACACCACTCTCTGAGAAAGATAGATCACAGGGAAAGAAGCTTAACAAAGAAGCTACAGATCTAAACTTTATGATTAGATGACTAGACCTGATAGATATTTTCAGAGCTCTCTATCCAAATTTTAAAAAATTTCAATTCTTTCCAAGTCCACATGGCACATACTCAAAAATAGACCACATGCTGGGACACAAGTCGAATCTGTGTAAATTCAAGCACATAGAGCTCATACAGACTTAGCTCTCTGACCACTATGCCATAAAGCCGGAAATCAACAAAAGGACAATTAAGAAAACAAGGGCAAACAATTGGAGCATGGATAACTCTCTATTACAAAAGGAGTGCGTACTGGCTCAGATCAGAGATGAAATTAGGAAGTTTCTAGAAACCAATGAGAATGAAAATACAACACACCAAAATCTTTGGGACACAGCAAAGGCATTTATCAGAGAAAATTTGATAGCAATACACCTACACATGAAAAAGGAAGAGAGATTTAAGATAGATATGCTGACACAAAACTTACAGCACTTAGAGCAGAGTCAACAGGACAATCCTACTAATAGCAAAATAAAATAATAAATATCAGGGCTGAGATTCATGAGAGGGAAAATAAGAAAACTATGGAAAAATTAATGCTCTGCTATCAACAACTTAAAGTCTTAATAATTTTCGATCAAGAGCCCCACACTTGATGGTATTTTCTACCATACCACAAGAACTATGTAGTTGATCCTGGTGCATCTTTGGGGTTACAGAAATTACTGTTTGCAAAAATAATGTATTTCAAAATTCATTTCAGAAAAGTTAGGAGGGCCACACAATGTAGAAAAAGAAAGTGAAATGCTGTCTCTCACCCCATCTCCCGCAAAGGAGTTCTTTCAACACTGTGGATAAAGTCCCTGTGGACTTTCGCTGGCACAGGCGAGAGCCGCTACTTAAAAAGGAGCCCAGGGACACTCCCTTTTGCCATCGGTTTTCCTGAACACTCGGCTGTGAATTGGCGTTCATGTCATTCTTTTAGAGGCTGGCTAGTACGCTGTTGGAGCATGGTTCCTTCATTTATCTAGCCAACCATTGACCTTAAAAACAAACAACCCTTCTTACTGTGCATTATGTGAGGATATACATTTCAGATAATCATTTTTTTTTTTGGTTTTGAACTGGGTTTAATTAGGTGGGAAAACATGATCTGACATACACATTTATGGGCATTAAAAAGACTAGATTTCAGAGCTGCTTCCTCCTTGTCCCTGGTCTCTGTGCAGCATGAAGTGAGGCACTGCAAGACTCGCATGGCCTCCTGGGCGGCCTGCATGGGCGCGGGGAAGAGGTGGGGGCTGCAGATAATCATTTTTGTATTGAACAATTTATTTTTCTTTTTAAAAATCATTTTATTAGGGGCTCATACAACTCTTATCACAATCCAAACACACATCAACTGTGGAAAGCGCATTTGTACATTCATTGCCCTCATCATTCTCAAAACATTTCCTCTCCACTTAAGCCCCCCTGGCATTAGATCCTCATTTTCCCCCTCCCTTCTCCCTCCCCCCCTCCCTCATGAGCCCTTGATAATTTATAAATTGTTATTTTGTCATATCTTTCCCTGTCCGACATCTCCCTTCACCCACTTTTCTGCTGTCCATCCCCCAGGGAGGAGATCACATATAGTTCCTTGTAATTGGTTCCCTCTTTCCTACCTACTCTCCCTCTACCCTCCCTGTATCGCCACTCACACCACTGGTCCTGTAGGGATCATCCGCCCTGGAATCCCTGTATTTCCAGTTCTGTATTGAACAATTTAAGTATGTAATCGAAGCTCCCGATAACTAGTTCTGTTCCTCCCTTGAAATCAAGGATGAGCCTTGAAAACAACGACCCTCTGTTGTGTGTGTGTGGCCCCAATCCCTCGGTCCGTTTTTCTATCTGCTGTGGTGAACAGCATGGTGATGAACATGGGCATGCTTATGTCTGCTGATGTTTTGTTCCTTATTTCTTTAGGGTGCATAGTGAGCAGAGGGCTTGCTGGGTCATATGGGATTTCCAGTCCCAGTTTGAGGAAGCGCAAAACCACTTCCCACAGTGGTAGTCCTGTCCACTGTCCCACCAGCAGTGATGAGGGTCTCACCACACCCCCGCCAGCATTTGCCATCTTCTGGTTTTTGAATGTTGCTATCAATGCCAGTGGCATCTCATCCATGTTTTGATTAACACCTCTCCTGTGGCTAGAAATTGCGAGCATTTCTTCATGCTTGTTGGCTCCCTGGATGTCTTTTTGGGGAACTGTCTCTTCGTGTCCTCTGCCCATTTTTAGATCGGATTTTCCGTGTTGAGGTGTTGCCATTTTTCCAGGTTTTGGAGATAAGACCCTGGTCTGGTGTGCAGTTGCCAAAATTTCTCCGTCATGGGCTCTTTATTCCAATATTGGGTGAAGTCCTTTGATGCCCAGAGGCAAGTGTTTTCTGTTTAAGCTTTCCCACCGGGCTCTTCAGTCTTCTCTTTAGGGCAGTGGTTCTTAACCTTCCTAATGCTGCAGCCCTTTAATACAGATTCTCATGTTGAGCTGACCCCCCAACCATAAAATTATTTTTGTTGTTACTTCATAACTGTCATTTTGCTACTGTTATGAATCGGGCAACCCCTGTGAAAGGGTCGTTCGACCCCCCCCAAAGGGGTTGCGACCCACAGGTTGAGAACAACTGATTTAGGAGGAGTCCCAACCTCCGTTCTGTTTTCTGCTGTGTGTGCATCCTTTACCCTCCAGCGTGTTCTTCTTGTGAATGGGTGTGCTGCTTTCCTCAGGTTGCACATCCTCACCCAGAGAGGGGTGTGCACAGAACTCACTTCCAAGGGACAGATTGAGGTCACAGGTCAGGGTGTCTGTTTATTGTACACTTGAGCTCAGAGTGATCTTAGGTTTCCAACACTGCCTGTTTTGTGAGTGCAACAAATGACAAATGCTGTGCGCTTCCTGCAGGGCCCTGGGGTCTTCCCCAGGCAGCTGAGTACACACCTCTCTGCCTGCCTCCCTTCTGGCCCCAGCTCTGCAGGAAGCTCTCCTTTTGCTGGGAACTGGGGTTCAGGGTGCAGAGCACCAATTGGTTCACTGGTGCCCCGCCCCTCTGAGACCCTGCTATGTGTGAGCGCACCACAGCACTGGGGCAGGTCGCTGGGACGTGGTTGCTGCCAATGCGACCAGCCATGGCTTCATGCCTGCAGCGCTTATGGCCCCTTCTCCTTGCCTGCTGGACCCTCCCTGCAGGTCAGTGTTTGCAGCCAGGGTAGAAACTTGCGGTCAGCACCCCCGTAGGTGTCCAGGTCCCTGTATCCAAGAGGGGAGGGTAGAGGGTGGAAGTGGAGGACCACAGCTGGACAGAGGGTCACCAGATTTATTTGTGGCTTTGCCAACTTTCCCTTCCAGTAAAGTACTTGGTGTCTCAGAATGGGGACAGTGAGAGGGGTTTGAGATAAAGGAAGGGGTCTGTATTCCAAGAGGGGCTTAGCTCCCAAGTCCTCTCTTCTTAGGACTGGAATCCCCCAACATCTTTGACCCTCATGTCTGCTCTGTGTTCTTGCTCAGAAGACCCTGCTGGCAAGAGATCCCTGAGCCTCCTGGGAGGTGGAAACCACTGCGAGGGCATGGTGGAAGTCCATTCTAGCGGGGAGCATGGCCCTGTGTGCGGTGATCGATGGGGTCTGGTGGAGGCGTCTGTGGCCTGCAGACAGCTGGGTTGCGGCAAGGTGTCCTCGGCCTCCACCTATGTGCTGAGACCCTTGGAGAGGGGCCCGCCCTGGATGCTGGGCATCCACTGCTGGGGAAACGAGTCCTTGATCCTTGAGTGTGACCTGGGGGCTTGGGGGCCGCTGCAGGATTGCAGGTGCCAGTGTGTAGCGGTGATGAGTTGCTCAGGTAGGGTGTGTGTTGGGTGGGGGCAGGTAAGGGGGTTTTGGCCCCTACCGGCCAGGCTAGACTCCCTGATCAGATTCTCAGAACTTGGGAGTCCAGATCAGGGTTCTAACAGGCCCATGGGAGCTGGTAACCCCGGTCCCATTGTTCTCAGCTGTGCTGTGCTGGGGCTGGCTGGCCGCCTGCACCTGTTCTGCCCATGCCTATCTCATTTCCTTCTCCCTTGCTCTCCAGGCTTCTGTCTCTGGTCCACGAGCGGTTCTTCTCCGTATTTCCCTCCACCAGCAGGGCATGTCCCCAGGGTCCCCAGCACATCTCCAGGTCGCCAAACCCCTCTGCATGGCCTAAAGCCTGGAAATGACTTAACATGGCCTGATGGTGGGCTAGCACAAGGCCACAAAGGAGCAATCCTAGGGAGAGGGTCTGCAGCCACCGAGGGCAAGAGAGGGATCCAGCCAAAGCCACACCCCTTCCCAGGCCACAGCCCTGGAGTGCCCTGTGCTTGCCCTGAAGATGTGGCATAGGAGGAACAACTGTCTCTCTGTGCCTGCAGGTGGTATCCAGCGTGAAATCAGCCTGGGGGGCAGAGGCAGCCCCTGTGCCGGGGTCCCCCAGGTGTGGAGCTCGGACCTCACGGTACTGAGGTGTGACCTGCACAGGGTGGAGGCTGGCGTTGTGTGCAAGGAACTGGGGTGTGGCCCCGCTCTACAGTGGTCCAGGGTCTACCAACTCCCGGAGGATCACAGCCGCAAGGCTCTGACCTGCCAGGGGACAGAGTCCACCATTCTCAATTGCAATCTCAACTTGAACTTCCTGGGCCAGTGCCAGCTCTCCACGTATACAGATGTTGTGTGCTCCGGTAGGAATGCCAGCAGGGATTCTGCAGGGCCCTTTCTCTCAGTAGGGAACCAGGGGCTGATCGGTGCCACTTGCCATAGCTTTGTCCCAGGACCAGGGAGAGCCCTTCTTCTAGGAAAGGGTGATGGATGATCATTTTACTGGTCCGCTGGGTCCAGAAACCCTGTGTCGCAGTGCCTGGAATCCCACCAGGATGGGCTCTCTGCCACAGGGATTACTCATAGGGAGCTGGAGCTGGGCCCAGCAAGAAGGGGGGTATTAAGAGGAGGGTCTCTTGGGTGTATGGGGCTGTCATTCAGGATGTCTTCATCGGACCTGGCACCAGTGGGTTTTGAAGGACTCCTTCTCCAAGATGGAGCTGTCTCGGGCTGTGCCTCTGGACCCCCTACATCCTCTGTCTTTGAAGATCCAAGGGAAGGGCAGGTCATCCCACAGAGAGATCCCCACAGATCTTGCCTTGGCCCATGGGTGTCCAGAGTCCATTGTCCCTTGGGTGTTGCCCAGAGCAATGTCTGTTCTCAGGGCACACGGAGGTCCGGCTAGTGGGAGGAGAGCACCCCTGTGCTGGACGCCTGGAGGTGCAGCGAGGGCTGACCTGGGGCACTGTCTGTGACGCCGACCTGGACCTGTCCATGGCCCACGTCATCTGCAGGGAGCTGCAGTGTGGCTCAGCTGTCTCCACACCCCGGGGTGCACACTTCGGTCCTGGCACCGGGCCTGTGTGGACTGAGGCCTTCCACTGTGTGGGCAACGAAACCCTGCTGTTCCACTGCCCTCGGGGGGCTGGTCGCCTGGAACCCTGTGACCACAGCCATGATGCTGGGCTCAGATGCTCAGGAGAAAGTAAGTCATCAGGATCCCATATCCCCAGGGCAGGGACTGAGCGGGTCAGGGTGGGGTGACTGGGCACGTGGTACTGTGAGGTAGATTCTGTTCTGTTCCGTAGGGTGTGGACAGCTCAAGGTCATGTGTCTTCCCATCACTGCCATCCCTGGACCAGGTTAGGGACCTGAATCAGGTGTGGACACTCACCCAGGCACACCTGATTCATGGGGGCAACCTACACTACCTTCATTTCTTGGTCTTCTGTGGAGTGACCCCTATTCCCTGGTACAGTGCCACGGCCTGGAGCATTAGGCTACGCTGCTTCGTGCTGTTGTACAATTCAGCCATGAATAGTACCCACACCATGCTCTGCAACCTCTACCTTGATCCCTTTCTGGAGCATGTTCCCCGTCACCCCACCAACCCCCTGCCCCCCAGCAGGACTCTCCACCTCCCTGGTTCTGCCCGCGCCTCCATATCATTTTCTTCCCAGCCACTGCCTTTCTAGGCGCTGCTGCTTTCAGCATGGCGCTGCCCAGGAAGGACATAAACGGGCCCTTTGTGTCTCGCTTCTTCACAGTGATGTCAGGCTCCTCCTTGTCAGAGCATGGGTCAGAGTGTCACCCTGCTGCGTGGCTGCCCCACGTCTGGTCACCCACTCAGCCCTTGGTAGGCCTTTGGGTTGTTTCCACCATCTGGCTGCTATCAATCCTGCAACAGTCAACATTGTGTGGGCATGCTTTCATTTCTCTCCTCCTCGTATGGGTCACCCGGTGATTCTAGGTGTGACTTTGGAGAAGTACCAAACTGCTTTCCACAGTGGCTGCACCGTTTTATATTTCCACTAGCAATGTATGCGAAGATTCAAACCCACCACCATCATCGGGAGCCCACAGGCAGGGCAGAACTGCGCCTGTGAGTTGTTGGGACTGTAACTCCTACTGGGAGTAGAAAGCCCTTCTTTCCCTTGCCAGCATCCGGTGGTTTCAAGCTGCTGACCCTGCAGTTAGCCGTCCAACTGCAGCCCCTCCACCACCAGGGCCCTCAGCAATACCCAAGGGAGGCCTCCAATCTCTGTAGAGTCTTGATAACACGTTTTCATCACGACTTTGAACATATCATGTGCTTACTGGCTGTTTGCATATTTTGTGCAAGAAATGTCTATTCAAGGCTTTTGTCCATTTTGGGCCTGAGTTGTTTGTCTCTTGTTGTTTAATTATCACAGTTCTTTATATTTTCAGGATACTAGATCCTCATCAGATAAATACTTGGCAAACATTTCCTGTTCTGTAGGTTTTCATTTCACTTTTTTGGATGGTTTCTTGACACACAAAATTTCACACTCTGATGAAATTCAATTGATCTATTTCCTCCTCTTCAGTTTTTTAAAAAGAATCATTATATGTAAGAGACTATTGTCTAACCTAAAGACATAGATATTTAGCTTTACATTTTCTTCTAAGTGTCATAATTGTAGCTCTTTCACTGAGACTTTGAGTTTATTTTTGTATATGGTGTGAGGGAAGGGTTCATCATTGTTTTACATGTATTAGCCAGTTGTTTCATCACTTGTTGGAGAGACTATTCTTTGTCCAGTTAGTGGTCTTGACACCCTTGTCAAAAACTAGTTGTCTCTGCTAGTGCCACATTGTTTTGCTTACTGTGGCTTTGTAGTATGTTTTGGAATATGGAAAACGTGTGTCCTCCAACTATGTTCAAGATAGTTTTGGTTTTTCAGGGTCCCTTTCAAAATAACGTGAATTTGGTGATTGTTCTTTCCAGACCCAAAGGGCAATGGGTTTTTATATGGATTTCTTAGGATAACTTTGTGTAGCATTACGTCTTTCAGGATATGAACATAGGGTGCCGTCACATGTGTCTAAGCTTTCTTTACTCCTTCCCAGGCTATGCTAAATGGAGCTTATCACAATCTGCTTATCAGATTCATTACTAGTGTACACACACAAAACCGATTTTATGTGTTGATTTTGTAACCTGCAACTCTGCATAATTTATTTATTTATTCGCTTTTTAGTATTTGTGGATGGAGTGTTCTATATGTATCTGTTGCCTCTGGCTGGATTATACTTTTGTTTAAGTCCTCTGTTTCCTTACTGGTCTTCTGTCTAGTTGTATCAATTGTTGAAAGTAAGGTATTGATGCCTATAGCTATTATTCCCCCCTCCTATCAAGGCACAACCTTTACTGATATAGAATTTAGCGAAGCAAAGCTGTCACATTAGAAGGCATATACTATGCCCACAATTCTGCTATTTTTTGAAGTCCTGAGATTAGCTACATTTCAGTTGAGGAATGACACAACTTTGGTGTGACTTTTGGGAAACAAGGTAGTAATTCTGGAAGGATATTATTCTTTCCTCATAATTGGTCTCCAGCTATTATTGTTGAATTTTTTATTTCTCCCTTCAATTTTGTCATATTTTTGCTTTTGGAACTCTGTTGTTACACACACATACACACACACAGAGGGGCACTTATAGTGATATGTAATGTACTATTCCTCATGTAAACAAATTTTGACTTAAAGTTTATTTTGTCTGATTTCAGTCGTCACCCTAACTCTCTTTTAGTTACCATTTTCATGGATATCTTTCTCCATTCTTCCACTTTTAATGGATTGATGTCTTGTGACCTCAAGTGACCTCGTTCAGTTAGTGCTATGGACGAATGGGCCACACGACCATCGGTCTCCATGAGTCTTACCAGAAGAATTAGATGGTGCCTGGCTGCCACTACCAACTACTCTGAAAGGAATCACCCTAACCTAGAAGGTCCTCGATAGAGTGGGAGAAAAATGTTGAACAAACTAAAAACCATACAGTAAGACCAGCTCACTGGTAAGACAGAGACTAGTGGAACTCCAAAGACTGTGCCTTTATTCGCCCTTCAGATCTTTAAATAAACTCACTCCTTTGGCTCCATTTTCAGCCAATCAACTACAAACCAACAAACTCACTGCTGTCTAGTTGATTCTGACTCATGGTGGCCCCATAATGGCCCCACTGAATTACCCATGTAGAAGGACAGAGTGGAACTATCCCTTGGGGTTTATGAGCCTGTACATCTTAAAGGAGGCAGTGGTGAGTTTGAACTGCGGGTCATGCAGTTAACAGTCCAGTACATAACTCACTAAACCACGAGGGTTCCTTGAAAAAAGTGGGGAATAATAACATCTTAGAATAATTAACCATTGGAGAGCAGAAGGGGCAATATTTACCTAAGGACAAAGTTCAGAAGGATTAGTAAAGGAGGAGGAATGAACATGGGAAACACAGAGAGGAAGTGGGGGAAGTGATGCCACACTGTGTGGATTGCAACGAATGGCATGAGACAAGATGTGCATGAATTATTGAACAGAACACGGATCAACTCTGCAAATCCTCACCCAATGCACAACAAAAAAATTTTAAAAAGAAAGGGAACTTATTGTAGACAACATGCAATTGGTACATTAAAAAAATTCTGTCACGGTTTGCCTTTTGTTAAAGAGTTTATCCCATTTACAAGAAAACAAAAAACAAAACAGTTCATTACTAATGAGCTTGGACTTCCATTAGGCATGTTACTCTCCCTTCTACAAGTCTTAGATCTTTACGTCAGTTCCTCCAGCACTGCATGCTTTTGGGTTTGTTTTCTTTCTTGTGTACTGTTTTGGTTTCTTGGTCATTTTCTATTAAAAAAAATTTTTTTTAGTGGTTACCCTGGAGAGTAAAATTAACATTTGTATTTTATAACCATATAGTTGTCAATATAGTATTAAAAAACCCTGCTTGGTATAATCAATGGCATTGAATTATACATGTAGATGTGGAATTGGAGAACATATTTTTGTCACAATTAGAAAACATTACATGAATAACAATAAGTCCAAGGAAGAAGAAAATGTTCTAGAATCAACTGTGATAACTATACAACTCTTCTTGATAGGATTTAATTATTGAATGTATGACATGTGGGTGAAGTGCTAATAAAATTATTAAAAAAATAACCCTCTGCATATATACTGTTCCATTTTCCTGCTCATACTGATATTGTCATTCATTACAATATGTGCTTCTTCAAATCAGTTGACAACTACGGTTTTATAGATTTCACTTCTAAATAATGTATCAAAAAGAGAAAATACAAACAACCATTACAATAGTAGTAGCTTTTCTATTTGCTGTTCAGTTGTCCGCATGGTGTTTCTCATCTGCACGCGTGGCTCTGAGTCCCGTCTGTGCTTGCGGTTCAGCCTGAAGGGCTCCGTAGAGCCTTTCTCTTACGATTGGCATCCAAATGATCACTTTTTATTTCTCTGATAACAGAGTAATTTCTCACTCGTTTTTGAAGGATAATTTTTCTAGGTATAGAATTCTTGGGTGGCAATGCCCCACCCCCCTCAGTACTCTATATGTATTACCCCTGTCTGTAGGTTCCATGGAGTTGATTAGAAATTGACTGTTAATCCTATTGAAGAGCGTGTGTGTATGACAACTGGCTTTTCCGGTGTCTAGATTTTCTCATAGCCTTTGTCTTTTTCCAATGATCTTAGCATGTCTTGGTGCATTCTTTGAGTAGAATAGCTTGTAAACCAATTTTCAAAGACTGGCTGTGTGTGGTCGCTGTCTGCACTCTGTTAGTTTAGCCGTGGGCTAGAATGAAACCAGGCTAGGCCGGGCTAGGAGAAACAGCTCCCATCCTCTCAGCATGCGCGACGACTGTTTAGGGAAACTTCTTCAAAGTGTCCGCAGCCCCCTCACTACTCTGTGGTGGCCTTCCCCCACTGTGTTTTCTTGGAACTTTCGGCCTTGGCCCTCATTTGGAGAAGGCTGATTCTGACCGTTTCCCCAGCACAGTTGTTGAGGGGGTAGGTTTGTAGCTCCCCGAAGACTCATGGCTCTCTGACTTGCCGTGTGTCATCAGGGTTCCGGCTGGCGAATGGCAGCAGCAGCTGCGCAGGACGCGTGGAGCTCCAGGTACAGGGCGTCTGGGCACCTCTCTGCGCTGCCCACTGGGACTTAGCCGATGCCAGCGTGCTCTGCCATCAGCTCAACTGTGGCAACGTGGTGGCCACACACAAAGGCGGCTACTTTGGCGGAGGGAAAAGTCCCATCTGGCGAGACGTGTTTCACTGTGTGGGAACAGAGCCCCATCTCTGGAGTTGTCCGGCAAGCACCTTCGGAGCACCCGCCTGCGCCCTGGGAAACGCGGCGACCGCGGTCTGCTCAGGTGGGTGCTGGGTGAGGCACGCAGCCATCTGACCAGCAGCGGGGCAGCCGCGGGGAGGCTCAGGGGCTGGTGCAAGGGGAGGACAAGGTCACCCGAGGCAACACCGAGGGTAGTCACAAGCGAACAGAAAGATTCTTTTCGGAGACGGGGAGATCAGTGTGCCAATGAGGTGGCCGAGGAGGAGGAAGGGAGGAAAGGCAGAGGAAGATGTGGGGGGCATCCAAGGGGTCCCTCCTCCTCCGTGTCCAGGTCTCTCCGACGCCCTGAGGCTGAGGGACGGGCAGAGCCGCTGTGATGGGCGCCTGGAGATGTCGCGGGATGGGCTCTGGGGCCGCGTGCTGGACGGCGCGTGGGACCTACAGGGTGCCCACGTCGCGTGCCGGCAGCTCCAGTGCGGCGCGGCCGAGCGCGCCTACACCAGCTCAGTCACGGGCGGCGGGGCCAGGCCGGTGGCGGTGAGCCGCGTGCGCTGTCTGGGCACGGAGACCCGCCTGACGCAGTGCAACCTGTCTGCGTCCGCGTCTGCCAGGGTGCCCGAGGGGAGCTTCGGCGACGCCGGCGTCGTTTGTGAGGGTGAGTAGGGCCAGCCCTTCCTGGCCGGCCTCGCGGGGCGGCGGCCACTTGACTCAGCCTTTCCACAGGGAGCATCCGGGTGCGCCTGGCAGACGGGCCGGGGCGCTGTGCTGGCCGAGTGGAGGTGCTTCGAGACGGCGCCTGGGGCACCGTGTGCGACGACCGCTGGGACCTGCGCGACGCTCACGTGGTCTGCAGGCAGCTGGGCTGCGGCCAAGCCCTGCAGGCCCTGGGCTCTGCCCATTTTGGGCCTGGGGCCGGGCGCATCTGGCTGGCTGAGCTGGGCTGCAGGGGCGCGGAGGGGGCGCTGTGGCAGTGCCCGTCCGGAGGCTGGGGCCTGCAGGACTGCGACCACAAGGAGGATGCTAGCGCCATCTGCTCAGGTGTGCGTCCCGTGCCCCCTTCTCCCAGCCGCCCTCTTTCCAGACCTGGGTATGGGCCTTACTGACCCCGCTCTGCCCTCAGGCTTCACGGATCTGCGGCTGCAGAACCGCAGCGGGCCGTGCGCGGGGCGCCTGGAAGTCTTCTACAATGGAACCTGGGGGGGCATGTGCCAGACCCTGAGCACGGCCTCTCTGGGGCTCCTGTGCGCGCAGCTGGGCTGCGGGTCCCATGGGCAGCTCCAGACCAGGACAGGGACTGGGCGCTCCCAGGGGCCCCTGTGGGTGGCCTCTGTGCAGTGTCGGGAACGGCAGGATGTGTCCTTGTGGCAGTGTCCTTCGGCCCCCTGGGATGCGCATTCCTGCTCCGGCATAGAGGAAGCCTGGATGATGTGTGTGGGTGAGTGGGCTGCATGGCGGGGGTGGATAGATGGGAGCGGGGGTTGTTTGTGGACAGGGCCGGGTGATAAGGGGCACCTGGCCCATCTGTTGCTGAGATCAGTGGGCAGCTGGTTTCTTGGGGGCGGCTTCTTCATGGGACACAATGGGCAAAGGTGCTGAGCTGAGCAGTCTCAGCTCCCCCCCTCCCCCAGGTGGCTGAATCCCAACCCAGATCTCTGGGCAACACAAGACCACTGGGTGCAAAGGTGCTTCTGAGGTCATCCCTTAGGGACTTGTCTCCCAGTCACCAGAGACAGTTTGTGGGTCTCTCGGGCTCCCACTGCAGGATGTGTTTGTGTGGTGTGTATGTGTGTGTGTATGGTGTGCAGTGTGTGTGTCTGTCAGTTTGTGTGTGTCTCTCTCTCTGTGTATGGTGTATGTGTATGTGTGGTGTTTGTGTGTGATTATGGGAGCATCTCTTGGCTAACAGCCTACTCTTTCCCCTCCAACAAACCACGACAAACCCACTGCCATCAAGTTCAGTCCCACTCTGGGTGACCCTGTCGACAGGGCAGAACTGCTCCTGTGGGTTTCCCATATGGGAATCTTTAGGGGAGTAGAGAGCCTCACCTCGCTCCTTGGATTGGCTGGTGTTTTGAAACAGCTGGCCAAGGAAACCACTCTGAAGGATGTGTAGTAGTGTGGCATGTTTATGCGGTGATTGGTAGGAAGGGAAGGGCCATAGACATACAGTATGGCTGGACCAGAGCATGTACACTGGTACAGATAGGAACCGGAAACACAGGGAATCCAGGGCGGATGATCCCTTCAGAACCAGTGGTGTGAGTGGTGATACTGTGAGCGTAGAGGGAGGGTGAGTTGGAAAGGCGGAAGCGATTATAAGGATCTACATGTGACCTCCTTCCTGGGGGATGGCCAACAGAAAAGTGGGTGAAAGGAGATGTCGGACAGGGCAAGATATGACAAAAAATAATCTATAAATTATCAAGGGTTCATGAGGAAGTGGGGAGCGGGGAGGGAGGGGAAAAATGAGGACCTGATGCCAGGGGCATAAGTGGAGAGCAAATGTTTTGAGAATGATGAGGGCAACGAATGTACAAATGTGCTTTACACAATTGATGTATGTATGGATTGTGATAAGAGTTGTATGACCCCCTAATAAAACGATTAAAAAAAAAAAGAAATACAGACAAAGATACTTGGGTAGTTTTAGGTCGTCTTGCAAATGCACACCAAGGCCCATTTCCTCCACAGGAGCAGCAGCAGGAGCAGCTGTGCAAGTCCCCGGGGAGACCCCCAACTGCTCGGGCACACAGCCCTGTGCAGGTGTGTGTCCTGGCCACCTCTGTCCTCCATCCGCCTTTCCTGCCATCTCCTGAGCCAGCCCCTGTGTTCCCAGAGGGCAACTGGGTGCGTGTGCGCGGGAGCAAGGATCACTGCTCAGGCCGAGTGGAACTCTGGTACGCTGGCACCTGGGGCACCGTGTGCGACGACGCTTGGGACTTGGCAGACGCAGATGTGGTGTGCCGCCAGCTGGGCTGCAGCCGGGCAGTAAGCGCCCCTGGGGGGGCAGCCTTCGGACCTGGTTCTGGGCCAGTGTGGCTGGATGAGGTTGGCTGCAGGGGCGATGAGGGGTCCCTGTGGGACTGCCCCTCAGTGCTCTGGGACCATGGAGACTGCTCTCATAAGGAGGATGCAGGAGTATGGTGCCTGGGTGAGTGGCGTGGCCTGTGCGGGCTGGGCACCGCCTTCTGAACCAGAGCTGGGGTGGCCGGACCAGGGCAGGGCTGGGGACTTGGCTTTCGGCTCCTTGTCTGAGTCTTGTTCTTGGGGTGGCTCTGTGACCCCAGTCTGAGAGGCACAGCAGGGGAGGGGGGTGAGGGAGAGTCCCCGTGCTCTGTCAGGCGCCCTCTCACCTGCTCCCTTCATTTCTCCCTGTAGGTGAGACACAAACCACAGTGCCGGTGCTCCGCTCAGGTAGGGGCTCTCATTCTCTGACCCCAGCTCAGGGTCCCCTGCCCCAGCTACATCCGGGCACCTAGGGGCTTCCAGAGGCCGAGTTGCACCCTGGTCTCTTTGCAGACAGGCAGGACGAGTACAGTGTGCTGAGATGTGAGTGATGGCCATGTGCTCTTCTCTGACTAAAACCCTCAACTGGGTTCAGAATTAGGGGACAGGGGACATCAGGTTTGACCACCTCTGCTCCCAGGTCTTTCCCTGGTGATGGCCCAGTCTCCCGGGACACTGGGTCCTCTTGGGCACTGTGGGCTATCTCCAGAGGACAGCCAAGGTTGGTGGTGACAATGAGGGCCATCTACCTGGGTTTCCACCTGGGTTCTCTATCTGGACTGTCCCACTTGGGCCTGTCCAATTGTATCCTCCCATGGGGGTCCTCCCAACTGGGCCTACTCACCTGGCTCCACCAGCTGCGCTCAACTTCCTGGTCAGTCACACCTGGTGCTCCCCCTTGTGTCCCATCCCCCCCAGGACCCTCACTCCTGGCTCATCCTGAGCCTTCCCTCTGGGCAATCACACCAGCCATCTCTTACCTGGCTGCCCACCTGGGGCCTCCACTCGGGTGCCCTCAGGACAGTGACCTTAGATGAGCAGCAGGGAGTGCTGCCAAGAACCACCTCTGCCCCAGGTCCCCCTCCTCTTTCTCAGAGAGGCCTGGGTCATCGAGCCTAGGTCACAATGCCCTGCCCCTCCCTGTGCCCCACAGGTCCTCCCTCAGTCCCTCCTGCAGCCCCCCAGGTGGAGACCCTGTCCTGGTCTCTCTGCATCACCCTGGGCACCCTCCTGGGCGTTGTCTCCCTGGTCCTGGGGATTCAGTGGTGCCGAAGCCGAGCAGCCTGCAGGGGTAGGTGGGCTGGAGGCACTCACACAGAGCAGGGATGGGGCCTGCAGGGGAAGCAGGGGTGGGGGTGGGGCCCCATGTGTCTGGAAACACCAGTGACCAGCGCCTGGGTGTCACTGCCCTGAACCCAGGAGGTGTCCCACCCAGGGTCCCTGCTCCATGACCACCATGGACCCACCGGGTGTCAGGGGAGTGGGCGAGCCAGGCCGGGAAGGGGGTGTTTTCTAGAAGGGTCTGGTGTCACTCTGCAGGTTCCAGAATGACTGGGGCGCTCCCCTCAGAGGGCTTCTATGAAGACCTCGGTGCCATCTCCCTGGAGGATCAAGACTTGGAACCCAGGAGCTTTGGGGAGTGGGTGCTGGATGAGGAGTATGACGACGTGGAGGAGGAGGAGGAGGAGGAGGAGGAGGAGCAGGAAGAGGAGGCAGAGGCGGAATACGATGATGCGGAGGAGCCCCTGAGCCGCTCGGGTGTGCACCTCTCCGCCCTGGCCGCGCTGGTGCTCTTTCTGCTCTACTGCGCCTACGTGAAGACCCCTGGGCTGGGCAGCGCCTACATCTGAGCCCCTGAGCTCCTCCCTGGTGTGTCCTCCGTCAGCTCCCACAGCCCACCTTCTCAGCGCCCTCTCCCTGCTTGGCGGCACCTGCAGCTCAGGCTGGCTCCAGGGGTTCTCTTTGGGCCCTATCTGCAGCTGCGAGCGGGTGTCTTGTTGTCCCTGAAGGCCCAACCTGTCCCCAGGAAACTACAGGGATGACCCTGAGCCGGGCTGAGGGTCTGCATGGGGATAGACTACACCTGTTGCTTGGGGCACTTGTCCTACACCGTCTGTGGTGTCTCTGGTCTCTTGCAGGGACAACCAGAGGATGTGGCCACTGGGGTTCTAAGGGCTCTGGGAGGACCCACTGTGGTTTCTTTGCTTAAATTGCAGGTGGGGTCCCGGCTTCCTGGGCAACGCAGCTCAGTCTGGGATGAAGTACAGGGCGTAGCAGCCCGTCCGCAACCTTGAGCTCAGCACTGGCAGGAAGCTCCCTGGAGGTGGTGCTTTTTTTTTTTCCTCATTAAAATTTTTTGTTCGCAGGAAGAGCATAATTTATTTATTTTTCAAAATTTAAATTAGCCTTGGTGGTTAGGTGCCCTGATAAAGACCCCACGTGACATAGCAGACCCATCCCACAGGAGGGTCCTTGGTGTTGGCTGTTACCAGCAGTCCCATTCAGGCAGGCCTGAAGGCCTGGCCCGGTGAAGATAGTGAAGACCTGCGGGGG